GGCATCATTTAAAACGTCAATTTCTGACTTTTCAATTATCGTCCATTTGAATATAAATACGTGAGGCTACATTTACGGTAGTTGGTTGACTTTGTATTTAAATTTGTGTCAGTAGCTTGAGTTTGTCAGCTTGGATATTCAAATTTTCGACTTTACGCTCAACTGAATGATGAAACAAAAGAGCGCATTCAAAAACAAGACTGCCCCATGTCAGGACAAAACAATGAGCTTTCGCGCTGCCCCTCAGCTGGTCTTAAGCAATTTTAGCTTAACAATGTTCTGTTGAATTACAAATTTTCGATTGCCAATATCAAATATAAAGCGTTGCGATTTGAATTGAAATAAAATGGCCACTTAGCTTGCCTCAATTCAGTTTGGAACGATTTGGAGTATAAGATAATTTGCCTCTTACTTTGCGCGTTTAAACAATTGAGTATGAATCTTGAAACTCACTAGCATTTAGGCTAGTGGCAAGCATACTCCGAAGATTCCTGGTTCGATACTCATGTGCAGTCAATTTTTGTTCCGACTTTCGATACGAAAGTAACGGAATATTTGTTCTCGGGTGGGTTTTATCTTCAGACAAATTTCTACTTTTTACCTAGCCATTTTTGACGGAATTTTTTATCATTCAAAAGGTATTGTAGTCCTGAGATTAAATTTTTAAAGATATTGTACCTGTGATCATTTTTCGTAAAGTTATGGGGGTTTAAAGATTGCTATTTTAGCCAATTTGGGACAATTAACGCGCGATATTTTTCGCGCTATTAACGCGTAAGCGGAGATTTAATCCGTATTAGAAATCGTTCCAAATTGGTTGAAAGAAGCTTATTTGCCATAATTGATTTGTTACAAGGAGCTCCATAAACCTTAAAAGGCAGTCGTAACATTCAGGGCTTCGCTCTGATACGAGCAGTCTTGTTGTTCCGACTTTCGATACGAAAGTAACGGAATATTTGTGCTCGGGGTGGGTTTTTTTTTCTTCAGACAAATTTCGACTTTTTAACTAGCCAGTTTTGACGGAATTTTTTTATATCATTCGAAAGGTATTGTTGTCCTGAGCTCAAATTTGAACAGATATTTCACCTGTGATCATTTTTTGTTAAGTTACGGGGGTTTAAAGATTGCCATTTTGGCCAATTTGGGACAATTAACGCGCGATATATTTCGCGCTATTAACGCGTAAGCGGAGAGTTAATCCGTCTTAGAAATCGTTCCAAATTGGTTAAAAGAAATTATTTGCCATAAATGGTTTGTTACAAGGAGCGAAATCTATCATTTTGTACTTTATATGGCGTGTGGGGGGATGATTTTCATAAAAAATTTCAAATTTTAGAAGAAAAAATATTTTTCTTTTGTTTTATTTCATTGAATTTTTTAATATTATTACTGCTCCATAAACCTTAAAATGCAGTCGGAACATTCAGGGCTTCGCCCTGATACGAGCAGTCTTGTTGTAATATATGTTTGATTAGAAAAAACCACCCCAAGAAAATATATTCTCACTTTCTACGAAAGTCGGAACAAAAACGTAATACGGAAAATCAAATACGCAATTGTTTCCTTTGAAAAAACTTTAACAGCTTTTATACTTTACCGTAAGATTTATCGGTGTAGTTTTGGAGAAATTAGCTATCTCAACTGCCTGCGTTGCATTTTTTCAAAGTAAATGATCCTATGAGTCATCTAGATTTGATCAATCAATTTCTAGCACTCGGGATCAGTACTCATGCTAAACGCTGGGATGAACAATGGCTTCCTCCCATCCCCCTTTCCATTTCGCAACCAATCAATGCAATTTGCGACAACTAAACTGATATAGAATACGCTATGAAACCTTAGCTAAAAAGCAAAAACTACGATAGACTAAACCTACGTTGCTGCCTTCACAACAAGAAACATAAAGTCAATTTTTGAAATGATCGGAAATTTTAAACGCCAATATGTTCAAAATGTTTCTGTTAAAACAGATGGTGTTAGAACTCAGTAATTTGGAATGTAGCGGTTGCAGGTTGTTCAACTAGCAGAATACCAAAGGTTACTTCTATTATCCGATGATTACACTGACACTGCAAATGTAGCTACCCATGTTCAATTTTCATTTTTGATCACGTGAATTTTATTTTAGTTTTTTTTCGCCATTTTTCTGTCCGTTGTTGGCTGAATATGACCTAAGTAGCTGTAATAACTAAAACAATACTGCTGGTATACCAGGGCGAGGCCTCTATGATCCGATTGCACTTTAAGGCCAATTAAAAGGTTTTTTTCTTAAGAATAATGGACGAATTAACCGGAAAAAAAATCATTTCTTCTTTATTTTAACGACCAATTTGGAACTATTTCTAAGACGGATTAACTATCCGCTTACGCGTTAATAGCGCAAAATATATCGCGCGTTAATTGTCCCAAATTGGCCAAAATGGCAATCCTTAAACCCCCGTAACAGCTGAAATATCTTTTCAAATTTGAGCTCAGGACAACAATACCTTTGGAATTCCGTCAAAAATGGCTAGTTAAAAAGTCGAAATTATCTGAAGAAAAAACCCACCCCGAGCACAAATATTCCGTTACTTTCGTATCGAAAGTCGGAACAATAATTCAGCTCTTACGCGTTTTAATATATTGCGCGTTTGTTATCCAAAATTGACTAAATTGCCAATTCTAAAGAAGTTTTCAAATGATAGAAGGTGAAATATCTTTTTAAGTTTCATCTTAAAATAATAATTAAAAACGCTGAGTTAAAAAGCCGAAAAATTACTGAATAAATAAAACCACCCCAAGCATAAATAATCCGAATTTTCCAAAGCGTTAAAGATACCAAAGAGCATGCCTCAATCTACTTTGGAACGATTCCTAAGACGGATTAAATCTCCGCTTCCTTCCTAATAGCACGAAATATATCGTTTTGATTGTCTAGAGTTGCCCGAATTGGTTGTCTTTAACACCCATAAATTTACGAGAAAAAATCACAGGTGAAATATGTTTTTTGTTTAATTTGAGCTCAAGACAACAACTTTTTCAACAAAATTGCAACAAAAATTCCCAGTTAAAGATTTGAAAAATATCCAAAAAAACACCCCGAGCTTCAAAATTTTATCACTTTCTTCTAAATTTGAAACGATGAAGCATTCATCAATTGGATAGTCAAATCTGTGATAACTGTTCTATGACTATTTGTTCTCACATGTCAGCTACTTTTTAAAAAAAAACTGGTGGTGCGTGAAATTCTTCTTGTGATCTTTGCTTTCGATCATGTCAATTGCTAAGTTTTACCTTGGTGAAAAAACCGTATATTACAATTTTTCCTTGTTTTAGTATGGTTGTACTTCAATCTGTCATGATAACAGTTTCAACAGTTTCTGGCCTAACCTATCGCTAAAATTACGTTTTTTAAAATTCAGGTTTGAGTTTTGTTTTTGATAGTGAGTGGTTTCTCATTTCGTTTTTCGTTATGTTATTTGATTTTTTTGGATTGTGCCCAATAATTTATTCAGATTAATAGTATATTCACTGTTTGAATAGTCGAATAATATATAATATAGCTTTTTGCATGAAGTTAACTTAAAGTTTTTTGCATGGCCGTCATCCTGTTTGTTGGCTTATTCTTCTTAAATTTTCTTGGTTCACATAAGAAGCTCACTTTGATGTAATTTTTACAGCAATTGGTCCGGTATTTCTGGCTTAACTTTTTGTTAATTAAACAAGCCAAAATTATTAATTTTGGGGTAAAGAGTGCAAGGAGTGAGCAAAGAGTTTTGTGAAATTGGTCTGAAAAAAAGAATCATATTTATTCTTCAGTTTCATCCTAACAAAAACTGAATAAACAAAAATCAAACTGAAAAACAGACAAGAAGATTACCAGACTTAACTTATTTGCTGCCTTTAAAGCAAACATAAGAACATAAATCGAATACAACGGAGTATTAAACTGCCCCATGAATAAAACATGTATTTTTCAGCAAAATATGATCAATTCTTAAATTGTGAGATTGTAGATATACTTTGTGATCGCAAAAAAGTTTTAAAAAAGTTCGTTTTTGGTAGGGGTTGGGTATTGAGAAAATGAGATTGGGCTAGGGATCTTAAATGAGATTTAAAAGGTTGAAATCAGTAAACAGTCTGAAAAACATGTTAAGTAGATTGTAATTGTAAAGTAGATCGGATCTACTTAACAATTACCCCCCCCCCTCCCTCCGCCCTTCAAGATAGAGTGCGATTGTTAAGTAGATTGAAATATTCAAATTTGTGACCAATCAAATGCAGCAAAATTCGAATAATAAACAGAACTTTCTGGTGCTATTTTACTGCATTTATTTATAGGGTTGGCAATTCCTTAGTAGATACCATATGGCGGTACTTTCAAAATAGATTCATAATCTTTGAAATACCTAACAACAATAAAATTCTTCAGTGCTTAAACGTACATATATGCAGTTTTCGCACCAAAGAGGATAACCGACAGGCAAAGTATACCTTTCTTTGGTTACCCTTTCTCAGGCAGGTAGCAAATGATCACATATTTCAATTGCGCGCGTATATTGATAAACAAAATCTTATTTTGCGGTTGAAAGAGAGTCGCGGTTGAAATCCGAGTCGCGGTTGAAATCCGAGTCGCGGTTGAAATCCGAGTCGCGGTTGAAATCCGAGTCGCGGTTGAAATCCGAGTCGCGGTTGAAAGAGCCTAAATGTGATCCCTGTTTCAACCATAACCGAGATTGCTTAGAAATACTTGAAATCGAGAGAAAACATCAGTCTAGGCTTTAGCTTTTTGAACTTTTCCATTGGTTCGAAGAATAATCATTGTCGAAATAAAAAGACAAACATAGCGGCTAGAAGGAAGCAAAAAATTAATGTTGCTCTATCGATATAATTTGTTTCCATCAATGATCTATGAGTAGCGAGAATTTTCGAAACTATGCTTAAGAGCTGAGCACTCTGAAAAAGTTGAGCACTTAAAAAAAATCTTATGGAAACTTCGGTAATCATCATGAGTATGGCAGCAGGTCTTTGGTGGCGAATCTGGCTGCTGCTGACTGCTACAATAAAGACTCCCACTTGAAGACTGAAAGGATCTGGAGTATGGTTGAGAAGGCGGAGTTATTCTACAGTGCTGGATACCCCTTGACTGTGACTCCAGACGGGATGCTCACACTGGCCGAATATGCATGTGCAAACGACAAAGTATACTGCCTCAACTTGTCCGCAGAGTTCCTCTGCCAGTTTTTCCAGGTCTGGCTTTCCTTGAAGCTTTTTTTGAACTTTTCTGTTATGATAATTGTTTCGCAACTATTTTTGGTGATTATGAAGGATTTATTTATGTTCTCTGCTGGACTGTGTTCGAAAAAATTGCACAAATGTTGTTACAAAATCTGTACAAAAAGTTTTTTAGAAATTTTTTATGACTGTTTTTATCAGGCAAGGCAATTTTGAGCTTCGGAAAATTGAAAGACCTTTTTAGCGCAACTTGAAAAATCAAGCCCTACAAAACGCGAAGTACACCTTAAAATAATGAAAGTAAAATCGAAATAGATTTTTTTCAATAGATAAGTTCTGAAGGTGGGGTTGGGTTCGCTGTTTTCAATGGCCCTATCAGTAAACTGAATATACAATCTTTGCTTTAGGAGCACATGTCTAGACTTCTACCGTATACTGATTACCTTTTCGGAGGGCAGACGGAATCCGAGAAGTTCTCGGAAGCCAACGGGGGTCCGAAGGCCAAAGACACCCGAGAAATCGCCAAATGGGCTAGCACTCTCCCGAAGTCAAACAAAAACCGAAACCGATTTGTAATTTTAAACCAGGGATTAGACACGGTTATTGTGGCCTCGAATGGGGAAATCATTCTTGAATTAGAACTTGTAAAAACACCTAAGGAAAATATTGTTGACTTGAATAGTATAGGAGATTCATTTGTCGGTGGCTTCATAGCGGGTCTAGCTCAGGGTTTCGAATTGCCCCAATGCGTTAAATTAGGTCAAGCAGCCTCAAGATACTGTGTACAGAAAACAGGCAGTGTGTTTGAAAAAGAAGACAGAGGTTCAGTACTTTCCGACGCTAGAATAAGTCGCAAAACTTACAAAAACTTCTGATTTTCAAACTTTATTGTTGTGATGTATACAAAATAAAATTATTCCACAGATTAAAAATGTGTAACGAAAAGATTTGCTGTCATTGTTGGAAGATACGATTTTACATATTGAATGTTTTGGTGCAATGATTCAAATGGAACTGTATGAAAAGAACCGGGTTGAGGTGGTCAACTGCATCTTAAGTATGTGTCGACCACTATCCGCTCTCGACTTTGTGGGTCAAACTGGCCGGCCGGCTGTCGACTTTGTGAGAAGACCAATGCCTGCTCTCAAACACTGGTTTAGTTTGGTCCACTTTTGTCTCTAGGTATCGGCCCTCATATCGACCAGGTATCCACCACCGACTATAATTTGAAAATATTAATTGTGTCAAAAAGCGGTCATTTGGTCCACCCGTACAGTAGATGCATAATTTGGCCACCTCCCCCGGGAATTTCGATGTCGCTCACGAAAAACTTAAAACGTCGGTTTGTTTAAATGAATCAATCATTTGGCTCAGTATTGCTATTCTGTATTGAACAGGCTTATTTAGGCTGGAAAAGCTAGTATTTTATTGAGATAAAGGGATGAAAATTTTTCATTTCAAAAATTTTCAGCTGAATAAATGTCGCTGTTAATTGAACAGTGTCATTGATTCAGCTTTAACCATAAAAAACTGAGTTAATTATTGGATTTAATATTAATAGCATAAGTTTTGACCAACTCGGCTGAAGGAAAAATGTGTTCGACTGTGATCTAGCTTTTTTCGACGAATTCGACCAAAAAAGAGTGTTCGACTGTGTTTGACTCAAGCGGGTTATATGTCGGCCAACCTTGCCCAAACTGTCCATATTTCCACCGGCTCGGCTCAGGCAACAACGTGTTCGCTTGTGATTGTCTCAAGCGGGTTATATGTTGGCCAACCTGGCCCAAACTGTCTATATTTCCTCCGGCTCGGCTGAGGCAATAACGTGTTCGACTGTTATTGTCTCAAGGGTGCTCTGTTTGGACCAACTCGGCCAAAACTGGCTATATTTCGTCGACTCGATTGAAAAAAAAATGTGTCCGACTGTTCGATCCAAATGTTTATATTTCAGTCAAGTCGACTCAAACTAGCATTTTTTTGACCAACTGACCAATAAAAAAAGAAACATGTGAGATTGTTTTTGACTCAAGCGTGTTTTGCTTTGACCGATTCGACCCAAGCTGGACTGTGTTTCTACCGAATCGACTGAAGCAAAATCGTATTCGAGTGGGATTGACTATATTTGGACCAACTGAATCCAAACTGGCTGTGTCTCGACCAGCCTGACCGAAGCAAAAATGTGTTCAACTGTGCTTGACCCAAGCGTGCTTTGTTCCGATTGACCCGACCGAAACTGGCTGTTTCCAGCAACTCGACTGAAGGAGAAATGTTTTCCACTATGTTCAAAACAAGTGTGCTATGATTGGACAATCTCGATTCAAGCTGTGTATGTCTCGACCGCCTGCACTGAAGCAAAACTTGTCGACTGTAATCGACTCAAGTCTGCTATCTTTCGACAAACTCGAGAAACTGGCTAGGTTTTGACCAATTCGATTGAAAAAAACTGTTTTAAACCGAACGGAAAAACTTTTTTGACTTAACTTGCTCTGTTTCAACCGACTCAACACAAACTGCTAATGTTTCAACCAAATCAACAAAAGGAAAAATTGTTTCAACGTGTTCTGTCCAAGCGTTCATTGATTCGACTGACTCTACCAAAGGAGAAAAGTGTTTCAAGGTTTCTGCCCAAGTGTTCTTTGTTTCGATCAACCAGATCCAAACTGGCTCCGTTTCGGCCAACTTGGCTGCTAGGTTTTGACCGACCTGACCAGAGATTGTTTTGTTTTGACTGTCCCGACCCAAACTGGTTATTTTTTGACCGACTCAACTAAAGAACAAATGTGTTCGACTGTTTTCGAACCAAGCGTGCTATACTTCGACAGACTCGACTCAGTCTGGCTTTTTGGACAGACTTGAATCAAGCAAATGTGTGCGACTGTGATCAACCCAACTTGATGTGTATCGGCAGACTCGACCCAAAATAGCTATGATTTCAACTAATCCAGTGAAGCAAAAATGGTTTCGACGGTGTTTGAACCAAGCGCGCTATGTTTCAAATGACATGACTCAAACTGGCTATGTTTTGACAAACCAACCGAGGGAAAAATATGTTTGACTATGTTCGACTCAAGCGTGCTCCTTTTCAAATGACTCGACCCAAACTGGTTATATCTCGACAGCCTCGACTGAAACAAAATGTGTGCGATTGTGTTCGACCCAAATGTAATATGTTTTGACTGATAAGACAGAAAATGGCTATGTTTTGACCAACTCGGCTGAAGCAAAAATTTGTTCGACTGTGATCGACTCAAGCGTACTATTTATTGACAAACTCGACCCAAACTAGCATTTTTTGATGAATTCGACCAAAAAAGAGTGTTCGACTGTGTTTGACCCAAGCGGGTTATATGTCGGTCAACCTTGCCCAAACTGTCCATATTTCCACCGGCTCGGCTCAGGCAACAACGTGTTCGCTTGTGATTGACTCAAGTGGGTTATATGTTGGCCAACCTGGCCCAAACTGTCTATATTTCCACCGGTTCGGCTGAGGCAACAACGTGTTCGATTGTCTCAAGGGTGCTCTGTCTGGACCAACTCGGCCAAAACTGGCTATATTTCGTCGACTCGATTGAAAAAAAAATGTGTCCGACTGTTCGATCCAAATGTTTATATTTCAGTCAAGTCGACTCAAACTAGCATTTTTTTGACCAACTGACCAATAAAAAAAGAAACATGTGAGATTGTTTTTGACTCAAGCGTGTTTTGCTTTGACCGATTCGACCCAAGCTGGACTGTGTTTCTACCGAATCGACTGAAGCAAAATCGTATTCGAGTGGGATTGACTATATTTGGACCAACTGAATCCAAACTGGCTGTGTCTCGACCAGCCTGACCGAAGCAAAAATGTGTTCAACTGTGCTTGACCCAAGCGTGCTTTGTTCCGATTGACCCGACCGAAACTGGCTGTTTCCAGCAACTCGACTGAAGGAGAAATGTTTTCCACTATGTTCAAAACAAGTGTGCTATGATTGGAAAATCTCGATTCAAGCTGTGTATGTCTCGACCGCCTGCACTGAAGCAAAACTTGTCGACTGTAATCGACTCAAGTCTGCTATCTTTCGACAAACTCGAGAAACTGGCTAGGTTTTGACCAATTCGATTGAAAAAAACTGTTTTAAACCGAACGGAAAAACTTTTTTGACTTAACTTGCTCTGTTTCAACCGACTCAACACAAACTGCTAATGTTTCAACCAAATCAACAAAAGGAAAAATTGTTTCAACGTGTTCTGTCCAAGCGTTCATTGATTCGACTGACTCTACCAAAGGAGAAAAGTGTTTCAAGGTTTCTGCCCAAGTGTTCTTTGTTTCGATCAACCAGATCCAAACTGGCTCCGTTTCGGCCAACTTGGCTGCTAGGTTTTGACCGACCTGACCAGAGATTGTTTTGTTTTGACTGTCCCGACCCAAACTGGTTATTTTTTGACCGACTCAACTAAAGAACAAATGTGTTCGACTGTTTTCGAACCAAGCGTGCTATACTTCGACAGACTCGACTCAGTCTGGCTTTTTGGACAGACTTGAATCAAGCAAATGTGTGCGACTGTGATCAACCCAACTTGATGTGTATCGGCAGACTCGACCCAAAATAGCTATGATTTCAACTAATCCAGTGAAGCAAAAATGGTTTCGACGGTGTTTGAACCAAGCGCGCTATGTTTCAAACGACATGACTCAAACTGGCTATGTTTTGACAAACCAACCGAGGGAAAAATATGTTTGACTATGTTCGACTCAAGCGTGCTCCTTTTCAAATGACTCGACCCAAACTGGTTATATCTCGACAGCCTCGACTGAAACAAAATGTGTGCGATTGTGTTCGACCCAAATGTAATATGTTTTGACTGATAAGACAGAAAATGGCTATGTTTTGACCAACTCGGCTGAAGCAAAAATTTGTTCGACTGTGATCGACTCAAGCGTGCTACGTCTCAATCGTCTCGACCAAAACTGGCTATGTTTCGACCGACTCGATGAAATAAAATTGTGTTCGTTTTTGTGTTTGACTCCAGCATATTATATTTCAACCGAATCGATCCAGACTGGCTACGTTTCGACCGTCTCTATTAAATGAAAAGTGTGTTTGACTGTGTTTCGACTCAAGCGTGCTATGTTTCGACAGATGCCACCCAAACTGGCAATGTTTCGACTGACTCGACTGAAGAAATTATGTGTTTGACTGTGTTCGACAGAGCCGTGCTATGTTTCAACCGATTCGACCCAAAGTGGCTATTTTTCGACCGACTCGACTGAAGCAATTTTTGTTCAACTGCATTCGAATCAAGAGTGCTATGTTTCAACCGACTCGACCCAAGCGGGCTTTCTTCCGACACTTTCGACCCTTATTTTTTTGTTTTGAACCACTTGACTGAAGCAAAATTGTTTTTCACTGTGATCGACACAAGCGTGCTTGGCTTCGAACGAATCCCGGGTGATTCGATATTCGAAGTGTTTTTTTTTTACCTGAAAGCAAAAGTTCATCTGAAAACATTAGATATTAGATGGAGTCAAGTGAGGTCTATATAACAAGTCGGTCATATTAAGATACTTTCATTCGTGGGTTGAACTACGTAAATTATTCACGAATGTCACCTAATATCAAAAAATTGGTTTCTATATACTTTTTGCACAAGTTGTTTGTCGAATTTTGCTATTTATAGATTGCTGTTTACAGTTTTGGTTGAGTTACTTCAAATGTTTGCTGACTATCCTGTGTAAAATACTGTGCCAAAATGTCCCAAGACAATTATAATGGTCGAATGACATTCGTGGTACTTGCACAGCAACCGGAAGGTCTTGTAAAATGTATATGTAAATTTTTCAATTACAACAATTATTCACGGTTAATCTCAGAAAGTTATAACGCTTCATAGCTTTATCAAAATAAAATTGCCCTCAATGTAGTGACAGTACCTGTTGTTTCTCGTTTTCTAGTAAATAGTTTTTCAAATTCAAATGTTAGGATTGCCTGAACTAATCTTTTACCTGTAGATGCTCAAAAATCACAAATGATTAAAACTTGACTTCGCCATTTATCTCAAAATGCTCCTTAACTTAATTTTGAACCGAAAAGTAATATAGCTTCAAAAGGAGATGTCAACTTTCATGCAATTTATATCGTAACTTCAGTCCAACGTACAGTCTTGAGATTAATAATTAAAGCTACTTTACAGGTGTTTTCCAGGCGACCACTAATTTCACGTGGAATGGACAATTAATTATTAAATCTCGAACCATTCCTTCCATACTAGTTTTCAAATCTCCAAATCTGTATTTATACATCCGCTGCATAAAGAACCACAAAAATTTACAGTTTTTGATATTGTTAGCCAATTTATTCGTTTCACGTTTTTCATTCACCTGTTTCATAAAGATTGTTTTGCAGTTTCACTGAAGTTTTTTTAACAATTTTTTGGTAGCAAATTTGTCTTCAAGTAAAGCCAGTTTTTTTGTTGTAAAAATCCTATAATAAATTCAAATCTACATAGATTAGCCTACAATGTTCTCTCTAGAAGGAGTTCTAAGATGCGGGGTTGTATTTTTCCCGACTGTCGTTTTGACACTGCTTCAATGTGGGCTGAACGAGGGCCACCTGTTCTGCAACAAGGACAGGTGGGTGTACAGTGTGCGGGCGGAGGACCAGATGGCCATCAGTGGCTACCAGGTGGGGGACATACTCAGATCCCCAGACACTCTGGCCAGCTGCTCCACCAAGTGCCAGGTAAAAAAACTCAGCTCCTACCCCCCCCCCCCCCCCCACCACCCACCTACCTTCCTTGAGCTTCAAACTTATGCTGTAATCAATGGCTTTGCAAGGCTAAATGTGAAGCTCAAAAATGCTTTACATGACTTGAATAACCCGTATGTCAATTTAACCTCGTATGTGACTAACCCGCCCCCCCTTAATCCGCCCCTGATAACGTAAAAACTCAACAGCGCTTCTGCGGAAGGAACTGGACAGTTTGTCTGTTGGTCCTTTCCTTTGTGACTGAAGGTTTGATCCTTTGTGAGCTAAAAAGTAAAAGCTGACCCTTCTTAGATGAACGAGGACTGTGAGACATTTGCCTTCGACCAGGAGGAGTTCAAGTGTCAGCTGATTGACCAGCCGGTGCTACAAGACAACGACATAGTCTCCCATCTGGCTACTAGCGAAGCCGAGTTAGTGATAGCCATGCATTTTCTAGGTTTCTATTTTTACCACAGATTTTACCCTGTAAAGTTTGGTCGTAATTTTCACTAAGTTTTCAAATTTTACAGGTTTCCATGATACTTTTTTGTTAATGTTTATCAGTCACGAATAACTTATTTTCACGCCCCATTTTTTGCGCATTTTGCTTAAAAAAAACCTTGTGAACACCCCTTTTAATTGATGAAATTTTATTTATACATGAAAAGGAGGGTGAAAAAGCCATAAGTCAATTATTCGTGTCGTGCAATAGCACGTTAGATCAAAAAAATATTTGTCAAACTATTCGGCTAGTCTAGACTAACATGTTTATAAGAAAATTTTTGAAACAGTTTATAGTTATAGAAAACTGTTTACCTGCCTTCTCCCATTCCAAATCTACCAAAATCAACCCCCTGCCTTACTGCAGATCTGCTTACTAAAACAGTCAATTTTGTTTCAGGAAAATACATGAAGTAATAGGTTAACATAACTCCGCTAAAATGTAGTATATATCGAAACCACACAAAATTTGTTTCTATTTTTTTTAGATCCTTAACTTTACTTTTTAAAAGGGAGATGGAATGGGAGTTTTTAAGCATAACCTAGATTATTAGCCGAACAATTTGGGAAATACTTTTACTGATCTAACGTGTTATTGCACGACACAAAGAATTGACTTAAAGCCTCTTTCATCCTCCTTCTTACGAACAGATAAAATTTTGTCAATTAAAAGGTGTGTTCACAAGTTTTTTTCAACAAAAAACTGGTATTTTAACTAGAGCTGGTATATTATTGACATTAAAGGGATGATAACTTACTTTTAAAATTTTAAGCTGAATAAATGTCGCTGTTTCCATAAACTGTGTTAAATATTGTATTTAATAGTATGTCAATCAAAAAATTTTGAAAAATGGTAACTTCAAAATTCATGCAACTTGTTAATAAAACAAGACTGCTCATATCAGGGCGAAGCCTTGAATGTTCCGAATGCTTTTGAAGGTCTATGAAGCAGAAATAACATGAAATTAATTTAAATGGAATTTAAAAAAGTAAATTTCTTTTAGTTTGTGATTTTTTTTGTTAATCATCCCCCACACGCCATATAAAAAACAAACAAAGTGATAGATTTCGCTCCTAGTAACAAATCAAGTATAGCAAATTGGCTTTCTTCAATCAATTTGGAACGATTTCTAAGACGGATTGAATCTCCGCTTACGCGCTAATAGCGCCGCAAAATATATCGCGCGTTAATTGTCCCAAATTGACCAAAAAGGCCATCTTTAAACCCACATAACTTTACGAAAAATGATGACAGGCAAATTTCTTTTTTTTTCAATTTTAAGCCCAGGAATGGCCAGTTAAAAAGTTGAAATTTATCTGAAGAAAAAAAAACCCACCCCGAGCACAAATATATCGTTACTTTCGTTACGAGAGTCAGAACAAAATGGATGTACTACATTTTGGTTCCCATTCTTATCACCCCCTTTTTTAAAACCCTTTTTCTTAACCCCCTCTAATATAACCCCAGAACTATATAACCCCACTACAATTGACACTTTTTTAATACCAATTGTTAGATCAAAGCAAAAACTTACTTGAAAGGAATTCGGAATCATAGCGTCGCTAAACATCAAAGGTTTAATTGCAAACATTTTTGCGACACAATACGAAATAACATGCAAGCTGCTATGAGCGGTTTAGAATTGAACAGAAATGAACTTGCCGATAGTCTAGACTTTGATATGACTTTGAAAACCATTCAGATCGGCATGGTTAAAATTATTAATCAAAAATGATTAGATTTCTCCAAAATTGAACTTGATCTTGAAAATAATCTTGCTAATAATAGATTAATTGGCTAAATTTAAATGAAATATGGAATGAAAACTGGTTGTGACTAAAACTTTGATTGATCTAATCTAAGTTCTTTCATTTCGCGATCGTTTTAAAGTAAAACTTAACTAATTTTTCAAAGCATCTAAAGTTTGACAATTTTTTTTTGAATTTTCGACACACAACGCAATGTCTAGTGGATTTGCTAGCCCCTAATCTCAACCTAGCGTCCCACCAAAGGAGCGATTGTTCCGGGATTAAATTGCTAGAGACAGTACTTTTCAAATGCGAGTCAAGTCAATGCGTTTTTTTTACGTCTACGGTCGCAAAATTACTCTCGCTCAGGTCCTTTATACTTTTAAAATTTATTCGAGCATCAAGTTTTCCCGTAGATATGCCGTGATTATGCTCACCCCTCGTTTGAATAAAGTTTTTGCCCTCTGTAGTTGCTGTTGCTCAGCATTTATGAGTCTGGTATTTTGAGCAGTTCCAGTTAGTAGTGGTTTTGTTCTTACGTTTAAGGTAATACTCGTGGCCTGATACCACCAAAATTTGTTTGTCTTTGGAGGATAAAGTAAATTAGAAAGACGCTTCAAACATTTTAGCTCAATGAATAGTAAATCAATCGTTCAAGTGTATGGCAGTATGATTTTATGCACGTTTTTTAAAACTGTTGAGTTGCTTTCAATTAGCATCATAAGGTTATCTCTGTTTTAAACGTGTGAATGAGGGATTATTTCTCTAACTAAACCAAAGGCAATTGTTTTTGAGATGCTAGAGGCATCAAGTGAGTTAAGACTAGCTTTTCAGGCCTCAATTAGTACACCTAATTGGAATACTCCTGTACTTATAAAAAGAACCTAATTTGAAACAATTTAACAGTATTAAAAGGGGGTTAAATTGTTGTGGGATTATCTTGTTATGGGATTATAAATAAAGGGGTGTAAAAATTGGGGGTTAAATAACGTGGGTTTAAAGAGTGAGACACCCTACATTTTAGCGGGACTATAAGAAACATGTCTGAAACAATTTTTACTTTAGAAAACTGTTTACCTGCCTTCTCTCACTTAAAATCCACCAAAATCAACCTTCTGCACTACTGTAAATGCGGCTTGCTAAAACAGCGCTCGCTTGTCCCCTTTGTTTCAGAAAATACTTGAAATAATAGCTTATCATAACTCCGCTAAAATGTAATATCCAAAAAACAAAATTATGTTTCTATTTCTTAAGATTCTTAAGATTACTTTTTAACTTGAGAAATTGATATATTAAACATGTTCGCTTCACTTTCCAGGGGCTACCGAGTGTTCCAGCCGGACTGCGGGGATGGGACCAAGGGGGGCTGGTGGCTGCTGTTCAAAGCGGGCAGGGGCACTGGCAGACACTTCTTCGCTGACTTCGACACTGATGGAGCCATCAACACAGCACTGGACGTAATCCAGGTACACCAATTAGGGACCACGAGAACAACCCCCCAACTCTCTAAACTGATCAAACTAAAAGAAAATGGTAACACTAAGCCAAAACATACAAAAGCTAAACTTGATTGACTGGAAAAAAAACAGCTTGTATATAAGAGAGCGAGCTCCTCCCTTTCTTGATGGGATACTGTTCACGTGGTTGTAAAATTAGTCACAACTTTGCAGGCAAATTTGATTTTTTTCTTAATAAATTGATACACGAGGAGAAGAATAAAGCAATGAGTGGATTCATTGTTTTTGTGAGCAGAGTTTTGAAATTTTTTCTCAAATTTCGTTTACCAAAATTTTTTCCAAGCATATTTGTTCAAGGCGAATATCTTAGATCTAACAGTTCTTGTAAATCCTCTTTTGATATCAAAAACAACAGGTGAAGGATGTCAAGAACAAAGCACTATTCCACCACGCAGACTTGGACACCTGGGGAACTGACGATCCTCTCAAGTTCGTGGACGTCGAACTGCGACTCTACGACAACCTCGGAGGCGAGATCTTCGCACTTCGCTTCGATGCCGTCGGACACGACAAACACGACTTCTTCTCGTTGGACAACCTAGTGTACCACCCGTGGACAGATGATCCGATTACTCTCGCAACCATGTTTTATGAGGAGCGAGAGAATGTTCTGAACGGCGATCCAGCAAACGTGAACGGAACTTTTGGAATAACCGGTATAAAATCAGTTTAAGTATGAAAACTTGAAATTTCATATCATATCAACACACTGCTGAAGCTTTTTGGCAACCTTTATGACTAGCTTTAAATTCCTAATTGTGATCAATTTTGTAATTTTTTTTCGAAGTACATTGGAATCGACTTTTTGCCTCTGATTGTTTCTTTTACCTTTGACATTTCAGACGGAGCGCAGGGAGGTTGGATGTTGGTTCTGGAAAACAAACCCGCTTGGAGCATAGTTCAGATCCAGCCGCCCGCAATCCTCTACGCGAAGCCAGGCAGTACCAAGGTCACCAATTGGGCCGAGGCTCTGATCGATGGAACTGCAGAAGTTGCCGCTACATTTGCCATCTTCGTCCGATGATTATATAAACTGAGTGTGAAAATTGTGAAAAAGCAAACCGAAAGGCAAATGACAAGAAGCTGTGTGATACAAGTTTTGTTATAACCTGTCAAAATATATTTTAAAATGATCCGAAACTTCTGTAATAGTTTCAAAAGTATGTACTGGTTTGTATACCGGCTCTTTTGACTGGCATTTGTAAGAAAAATCAATCTCCAGCGTAGATGATGTATCTGGCACTTACTATTTAAGCTTTTCTAAGCATACCAAAATTTAGTCGCCTAATTTAGCCCCGAAGTCCGAGAAAATCAGTCGAGTACCTCATTCGCGGATAAATTTTCATCGGTAGCGCTGGGCGCGCGGATAGTTTTTCCTGAGACACCGACGCCGGTCGCTGCCACATCTCTTCGGTCTGGAGAGTTTGAAAATGCAAATTTTGGTAGCGGCGGAAGGAGATTAACAAATATTGGTCGCGACAGTATAAAAATACCAAATGTGGTTGCGATAGTCTAATCATAAGGCCACAACCTCGGCCGTGGAACTTCCAATGTGTAAAATTGTCTGTCCAATGAGAAAATAGGGGGGCGGCTGGCTTAGACAAAAACAAGACTGATGGTGTATCAGTTCAAATTCTGAATGTCCCAAAAATTTGAGTTCCTTATTAAAAACGCTTGATACACACGCAACTTTCTATTTGAATTTGAATTTAGATACAGTTTAGAGAACAATAATGAACTAATAAAGCATCAGGGTTACTGTACGGGCAGTACAGTCCAACTGGCAGTAACCCGAGGGAAACCTCGGTAAATAAGTGAAGGCAAAAACAGAGTTATTAGAGTTGCACCCTTGGATACCACATATAATCATTCTATTAGCATGTCAAAAAGCAATCGATTGTCATTCAGGTATATATTTTTTTAAGTTTTACGAAAAAATCTTTCTTTTGCTTGTCAGAATATTCGTTAACATTGAGCGGTTACAAATCGTTTGACAACAAAAAGTTGAAACATTTCAGAGTTTTGTAAGACACCGAATTTTGAGCTAATTTTGTTTTTCTTAAAGGTAGTGACAAACATCCTAAATTACCCCTGAGCGTGAGTCTACCCATCTTTCTTGATTGAAGATTTAAAAAGTTTAAGGGGGACACTTTTAAGAACTGAAACATTGCCTCAGAACATGATTGGCTGATGAACATTTCATACACATTTTGCAGCTGATATTTTGAAAAATACACGGATACATGATCATACTTACGAAGGAAAAAAGTGGTTCATATAATTTTTTTCTGTATCAAGAAATTTTTATCAAGATTTTTTTTCGAAGTATATCCGTACGCTATCAAGCCATAGGAAATTATCAGAATCACGTATGTCATGTAAAATTTAGGTAATGACTGTTTAGAGAAGCATGATCTTCCTCTGTACAAAACACCATTGAATTTCGACACCTTTGTGCAAATTTTTTTAGCTTGATTATTAAAATTCAGTTTTTTGTCCACTTCGATATCCAAATATTTAAAACTATCCATATTTTCCATAGTTTGGCCAGTAATTGAAATTTTGGAATCCAATATTTCTTTTCCAAAAGCCATTAGTTTACTCTTGTCTGTATTAATCGATAGCTTGTTGACATTGGACCAGTCATTTATGCTCTGGACATCTTTGCTGAAATATTTTATAAACATTGGTGTTTTTCCAGAACCTACAATTGCAGTTTCATCAGCAAAAAGACTTATTCCAATTACTTCATTAATAATTGAAATATCATTGATATATATCAAAAACAATAGAGGACCCAAAACTGAGCCCTGGGCACATTACAAGTTATTTTTCTAAAGACGAATTTATAGTACCATCAGTCACATTTTGTACCCTGTTAGTTAAAGAGTTCTGTAACAAATTTAAAAACTTTCGAAAGCCATATTTTTCTAAATTAATCATTAAAATATCATGGCCAACAGTGTCGATTGTTTTTTAAGATCGAGAATTAGGGCCATTCTACAATCTTTTTGCTCCAAAACTGTGCGCATATATTCAGTTATCCGTGTAATTGCATGTTTTCACGAGTGCTTTGGTCTGAACCCAAACTGTTTAGGATAATTTATTTTGAATTTCTGTAAAAATTTAATTATTCGTCGGTAAATAAGTTTTTCAAAAATTTTGCTAATTGTTTAAAGAAGGTTAATTGGCCGGTAGTTATTAAAATCAATGACACTTCCACTTTTGAATAAAGCAATTCCCTTGGCAATTTTGCAAATATCAGGAAAGTCTCTTTGCTGAACATTTCATTAAAACAAACAACCATGAGCTTCATAATGACTGATGCACAAAGTTTAACCATCATATTACTCAATACATCATGACCAGTCGAATGTTTGTTCTTTAAATGCTGAATAACTTTCGCCATTTCGTCAATGTCCGTGAAAAAAAAAGTCTCGCAATTGCGAGAGATTATATCAACATATTTAAAGTCTCCATTTTGTTTTGAAAGTTGAGGTCCAATGGTTACAAAAAAGTTATTCAAATCACATGCCTCTAAATTATTTGATGTAACTTTTCGTTCTATATCTAACTATTCGTTCATTCACCCATTTAGTTTTTTCAAGTAGATTGTTATGATGGATCTTTTATGTCATCTGAAAATTGCAATGCGCCGGGCTCATTTACAAATTATATATAAGGCGTATGATCAATTTTTGTAAAGTCATGGGGATTTGAAAATTGCCAATCTGGCTTATTTAAGATAAATTAAACCTCGATATAGTTTTGTGCCTCTAAATTTGAAGAGGCAAGCTGCAAACTAAACTTTCCAAATTCAATTGAGGAGGAAAATTTACTTATATGCATGCATATCAGATCCCAAGTTTCAACATTTTTTGTAGCCTTTGAACGGCAGACGAAACGTTCAGAGCTTCGTCCTAATACAAGCTGTTTTGTTTAGCGGTTCCCTGCACTCAGTAAAAAGAGGGAAAAATGGATTAGTTTACAATTATAATTGTACTTTTATCCAAATTGCGCCAAATTTAGATGTTTAAACGATTTACAATCTATTATTATGAAAATATTTTTCGTGACATTATGATAAATTATAATCAAATAAAATTGATTATAACTTTTCCTAAAATCTCTGATTATCACTTATAATCAATTATAATCTCTTATAATCTCTTATAATCAATTAAAATCTATCATAATAGATTATAGTTTTTTTGTCAAAAATCTTCAAAATTGTCACTCTTTGGTTCTCTTGTCACTCTTTGGTTCATCTGAACACAAAGTTTAACCATGAAACAAAAGTTTCATAGAGATCCCTTCATATCAGTTGAAAAAATCCCGCGGTAGGTGAAATATAACTCTTCTATGAAAAAATCATGAAACTAAAGCAGTTTTCTGATATTATGGTGGTCGAAAAATTTAAAATGTGCATCATGAAACAACTATAATCAAGAAGAAATGAAAAAAAAAACGTTATAAATTTGAATTGATTTGAAAACTGCTAAAACAATTTTCGCATTGTTTTCATAAACCAACGTCTGCCAAAAGCATAAAATATAAGCAATTCAAGTGGAAGGTCGAAGACCAAAGACCAAAGACAAAATAGGCAACCAAAAAGGTTTATAAGCAATTATAATCGATTATAATGGATTTTTTCAGCAAAACAAACAATTTAGAAATTCAGATTAAAATAAACGATCATAATCGATTATAATGTATTTTAATTGATTATATTTGATTTCAAAAAGAGAGGTTATAATCGATTATCAATTGATTAAAATCAATTTTTTCTCAATTTTTGTAAAGCTGGTTTTAAAATCATATTATGATCGATTATCAACACTTGAAACTGTATGCGGGTCAATATTTCCTTTAGCTTATTATAGAGATTTTCCGCTTTTGTTAGATTTCATCAAAACTTGGAAGGAGGGCAAGAATATAAAACGCAGTCTTTTCTTTTGAAAATTTTTTTATGATTCTACTGCCTTTTAACAGTTGAAACAAATTTTGAGAGACTTCTTAATTACAAAATAAGATTTAATAGAGCATAGTATTAAAATGCACTGGTTAAGATTTAATGACATAGTTGATACAAAAAACAAATGTCACCGCTGAATCAGTGGCTTCCTTTCGCGCTTCTTTTTTTAGCTATAGAGTCGTTTACTCAAAATAGCTAACAAAGAGAAAAAGATTAAAAAAGCTTAAATTAGTGTGAAAATTGTTTTATTTTGAAAAACCAAAATATGGTAGAAAAACTTTCGACTGCATATTTGCGCGATTCAGGCCTTGAAACGTAGCTGAGCGTGAGGGTATACTATACCGTCAAAATACCGTCAAAACTCATTTCGAGGCAGGCGATTTTTGTTTTGGCTCACTCTTGGAAGAGCGGGAACAAACTATGACTTATGGTGGTTGTTTTTTTTGCAGCCTAGCTTGAGTACGACGATGTAAACTCTTTTTTTTGTCAAGTAATGCTCAAGCTTATTTTCCTTCTAAAATAAAGTGTTTATGGTAATATTCCCAAACCAGACTCAAATTTAGTGAAGACTTAGCACAGACTATTTTTTCAACTATTCAGACTGTTCTGATCGACGATGAACAGTTTTTCACTTAAAACAAATAACATTTGAATGAACTAGTGTAACGGCATATTATAATCTGTGGTTTAAGCTTCAAATTTTGAAATTTCCCCCTACAAATTAGTAATAAAAATTTTTGAAAAAATGAAACAATTTACGTTGCCTTTTTGCAATCATAACTGGAGTCGAAATATGTTGTTTCACTTGTACAAATTTTTTGGCTGATTTGCTTGCGATCTAATCTTTAAAGTAAACCAGGCTTCAGTGATGTTTCGGCGGTTTGGTCATCATCATCATCCCGGTGGCTGAATCATCCAGCCACCTGCAACCCACATTCAGCCACCTGCAACCCATATTCAGCCACCGGCAACCCACTAAGCTTCGGGAGACAACTCTTTGTAGCTTACGTTGAAAAGGTGTGAAGATGTAAAATCGTTATATGCGTAGTGTTTTTCTAAGAAATACATTAAGCACGTTCAATAAGAATGCTAATTTGAACGTTAAATATGAATGTTATATAACTTCCCAACCCTGCCTAAAATAATAATCAAG